CGAGAGGCCCCCTCTGGTGGGGAAACTTTTTTTCAGGGATACAAACTTTTTCAGAACACCAGTAGACAGCAGCCATTACAGACGAACATGTGTTTGTTGTTCGAGGAGCAGCTCGGTCACACACTAATGTCATTAGTTTTTATCATTACTGAGCTGCAGGACTGCTTTTTACCCCCTTCTTTCACATCATGTCKCCTGCCTGGATCTGTTATTGTCTCGCTCTGAAGCATGGAGGAGTGTCAGAGGTGAGCTCGCTTCAACTGCTTTTTATGACGCGGTCTCATTTCCTGACTCAAGCATTTTGTGAACGAAGCTGATTCAGTATTTCAGTTAAAATACGTAAGTAAAAATATTTATCCGAGTATAGTACTACACCCCAACTTTATGGACGATTTTATGGATTAAATTTTACGTATTGTACTTGAATAAATGTAGTTTATAAAGGTAGTTAAATGTCTGTTTTGAGCAGGTCTTTTACTACTTCCCTGGACCCCCCTAGAACTGCTTCAGTCCACAGCTGCTGGTTAACATGAACAGGTGTTTGTCTATTTTAATTGGAAAACCTGGTTTTCTACAGATAAATAAATAAATAAAACCAAAACTATTTAATTTGGTATGTGAATGTCTTGTGAATGATTTGGATGAGGGGCACCACCTGAAACCTTGCCTGGGTCCGGCCCCCGACTGACGTGTTCCTAACAGGAACTCGATTTCATAAAAATGGACGACTCCACACAAGCAGCASTTATCGTTGGGTAAATAAAGAACTGTGTTTAGCGATTCTTTTTTTATTCTGTAAGTTTTTTAAAATGTTCATAAGTTGGCCTAAGTTGTCTGGTGTGACAGGGCCTTAAAGGAGAAGTTTGGGATCAGTACTCACACACGGCAGCTGCATCGTAGGTGAGTCTGCACACGATTCCGGTGAGTTTGTAGGCTGGAGCCGGGTCCTTCAGGCAGCTGTGGGTTGGTCCAACCAGAGAGGAGAGGAGCAGCAGCAGCAGCGGGTGGAAAACATCAGGCATTGTCCTTGAAGAGGGCACACCTCTTTAACAGCTGGTTTTTTACCTCTGCTGACTTTTGACAGCTCTGTCAGACCGTTCAAACCCACCGTCCTGAAGAGGGTCAGCGTTCAACAGCTATCTGCTGAAAAACTTTGTCTTTCATCCAATCAGAGGCAGCCAACTGGGGGGGATTCTCTCTCTGAGAAAAGGAACAAATACCGGAGATTCTGTCGAAAAACAGCAGGTCAAAGTCCAACGTTTTCAATGACAGCAGCTCCGTCTGCTGAAACACAAACTGAACTTTGTTAACGCTCAAAGAAAAAGTCAGCACAATTCTACAACGCAATCAGAAGCTTGTGTTATAAAGGCACATACCTCACAGAAAAGCAACGATATAAGAAAACTTATCCTGGTTTCTTTACTCTGCCGTGTGCCAAACATCAGTTCGTCCAGGCCTAACTGTGGCCCAACAAAGACCGAGTTCATGCTCCCAGAGAAACTCGATACAGGAGCTGAAACCAACCATTCATTCCTGACCCCCCCCCCACCCCTCCCTAAACTACAGCTCGTTCCCCCTGTGAGCGAGCTGCTTTCAGTCTGAACGTTAAAAATGTTTCTGAATTTTAATGTCTTTCAACTTTTTAAAAGAAAGAGAAAAGATTTTCAGCCTTTAAAGCAGAGCTGTCGCTGCTAACATCAAACATTTATGTAMAGAGGCCACCTCAGCTGCTGAGCTGACTAAAGGTCAAGCTTGAGGTGAATAAACTCAAGTTGTGTGTGTCGTTACGAACTTTCAGCTACATCACATTTTAGCTCAACAGGAAACCAGCAGAGTTTTAGTTACTTTTGTGTCGCATTTTAAACTAGAGAAAATTGCATTTCCTGCTAAAAAGCTAGTGATGCCTGTTGCTGAAAACAAGCTGAAAGCTGCTGAAATTGAGCTGAAAATATTTAATAGCAAAAGTGTTGATGTGAGCTCACTTTGAAAAGCTGAAAGAAGCAAAAAAAAAAGCCTAACCTTGCAGAAAAACAGTAAAAAGGCGCACAAATCTAGTTGAAAACAGAAAACAGCTAAAAGCTAAAATAGCTGAAAACATCTGTAAGAAACATAAATAACACAAAAAGCATAAAAAGTAGAAAAAAGCAGACGAAGCAGATCTATTGCTAAAGTAGCATAAAATAGCATAAAATAAGCTAAAGATAGCAGCCACAATTTGAAATTAGCACCCAGTTGAAATATAGCTAAAACAGAAAAAAGCAGAAAAAAATAATCATAAAATTAGATAAAAGTAATAATTTGTAGAAAAAAAACTAAAACAGCTGAAATTTCCAGTAAAACGGCTAAAAAGTAGCTGGTAATTATTTAAATAGCATAAGGAAGCTTAAGGAGCACAAGTTTGCTGAATTCAGTCAAAAAAAATTTGCAATAACTACAAAAAAATGTGTATTTAGCTCAGAAAAGCTAACTTTAGCTAATAGCAGCTTAACATTACCTAATGTTTTAGAAAATAGCTGAAGGTAGTAGAAAGCATCTGTAAGAAACATAAATAGCACAAAGCAGAAAAAAGCAGAATTTTAGCTGAAACAGCAGAAAAATATATTAAAATTTGGCATAAAAAGTAGCTAAAATTAGCACGAGAACGTGATAAAAGTATAACCAGAACAGAATGTGGAAGGTGCTGTAAAGCTTTGGAAACATTTTTAAAGGATTTTAAGGATGTTGAAAACAGCTCCATTCATTTTCAATGACAAAAAAAGTGGCTAAAAAGTGAAAAAAATAAAATAAGTTTAAATAGCTGAAATACCAAAAGTCACAGCACCCCTCACATGAATGAGCTGAACGTTTTGATAAATGAATTGTTGAAATAGCACAAAAATTGTGGAACATGTTCGATGCAAAATAACRTACAGAAGAAAAAAATGATCTGAAAAGTGTGAATGATTGTGAAAAATCACACAATCACTTTTCCTGTCAGGACATTAAACTCTCCTGTCGTCATCAATAACAACAAATGATCATCGAAGAACATTTATTGCATCAGTTATTGCAAATTCCCATCAACACTAGCATTATTCTACAGCATGGGTTCACAAATAAACATTATAAATTCACAATCTTTAGTCCTTTTTCTAAAGAGAATAAAACTTTACAGAGTTAATTACAGGAGTCGCTGTTCKTTTAAAAGGTTTCCCATGTAAATGTATAAAAACCTGTATTTTACATTTACACAACAGTCATCCTGCTATAATTAAATAAGATCAGTTCTCATGCAACACAATGAGATAAAACCAGGAGGAACAGAAAGTAATGATGTGGTTCTGGAAGCTCCAATAAATCAGTTTCATTTAATACAACGAGCCACTAATTAAAACTTTTATTTTACTCTCCACGTCTATTTTACTTTACCTGTAACTTTAACTGAATTAAGAGAAAAATACACTTTTAAGCCCTTACAGGTTTTTATTTACATCAACTATAAAACAACCCCCCTTGTTATTCTAAGCTTGCATAAGATAAATGTTATAAAGTGCTTCGTGCACGTACAATATATTTACAAAACCTTTTTTTTTTTTCAAGCATGCATTCCTCATGGTTTTACAAACAGATTTGGCAGAAAGATTTGGTCACAAAACCTCCTCAAGRCCTGGAAGAACAGTTGCTGAGTAAAAAATAAATAAACCAGCTCTGAAATCATTTCTTAATTATGTTAATTAAATTCCATGTTTTGTTTATTATAGTAAACTTAGAAATGTGAAATAAAATTCCTATAGATAACTTCTGTTTTTATTGTTCTTTAATAAAAAAGAAAACCTGTAAATGTTGAATAAATGGCACACCTGACACTGTTTTAGTGTCTCAAATATTCTAAACGTAATTTAAACTGTTTACCTGCTTTTCTTCCAGACAGAAAAATGATAAAAAATAAACTTTTCTTTATTATTTGAACTCAAACACGTCCTGYGAGGTGAACATCAGATGAAGTTTGAGTGCTGTAAGGCATAAACCATGAAGGTGGGATAAAAACCGTCTGTAACAGAGGGGGGAGGGGTTGTCCGTTGTTCCCGTCCATGTTTTTGGTAGATAAAAGCTGCTCTCTGTCGTTCTCCCTCCGTCACTCGACAGGCTCGGCTCAGAGGTTTGTTGTTCTGGAAGGTCAAGCGTCCACCCTCCAGGGCGCTCAGTTGGCCAAACCCTGAGGAGCCTCAGGTACGAGAGAGGAGAAGAAGGTTTTAAAGAAGACCCAGGCTGACCACATGACTGACACCTGGTGAGGAGGGACTAAGACCGCCGTGGCTGCTTGCTCCGATCCGTCAGGTTCTTCTGTGCGCTCGGCCTGCGGCCCGTCGGCCTGAGGAGGGAAACCACACCAGGTTTTCAGACAAACAGCTCTAAACTGATTAACTACAGATCAGTGGAGGAAAGCGAGGTTTCTTACTGGATTTGGTTCTGGGTTCCTGTTTTCGTTCTGCTGGTTGTGTTGGACCTCGGGGGGCTGCAGGTTGTTGGGTCCCTGAACTGGTGGTCTCCTTCTGAAGGGAAACCAGCCAGCTGTGTGTCTGTGAAGGAAGCAGGCAACAGGAAACTGAAATATGGAGAAATAACTGGACCTGAACTCCTTTTCTCTCTCTGCGAGTCTGAAGAGTGTTGGTGCAGGATGGTCTTCAGGCGGATCAGAGGACAGAACTGTAGAAGCTGCAGCCGTCAGGATGCTTTCATATAAAACTGTGAATAATTGTGTGACGCCTCACAATCATTCACACTATTCAGATCCTATTATATTCTGTCCATTTTTCTGCATCTAAATCCTTCCACAAGTTTTGCGTTATTTCAACAATTCATATATCAAAACGTTCAGCTCATTTGTGACAAGTCTGCTAWGATTTTTTGGTTTTTCAGTTGTTTACACTTTTTCAGCTATTTTACTTTTTTGTCATTAAAAATGAATGTTTTCAACATCCTTAAAATTCTTTAAAATGTTTCTAAATCTTTACAGAAACTTGCACATTTTGTTCTGGTTTTGCTCTTTTTTTAACTCCCTTGTGCTAATTTTAGCTACTTTTTTAAGCTAATTTCAGCTAAAATTCTACTTCTTTCTGCTATTCTCCCACTTTTTGTGCTTTTTCTGTTAATTTGTGCAATTAATGCTTCTTACAGAYGTTTTCAGCTATATTCAGCTTTGCTGCAAATTTAGCTAATGTTCAGCTGGAGTTAGCTAACGTTAGATTTTTTTAAAGCTATTACAATTTATTTCTGCTAGGTTSAGCAAATGTGTGCTACTTATGCTCCCTTCTGCCGATTAAAGAATTTCCAGCTACATTTTAGCTGTTTTACTGAAAACTTTAGCTGTTGTAGCTTTTTTTAATACAAATTGTCACTTTTGTACTTTTATGCATTTTTGTTCTTCTAATTTCAAAAAAACTTTCACTATATGGGTGTTAATTACAACTTCTGGCCGCTACCTTTAGCTTAGTTTTATGCTAATTTTAGATTTTTTTTTTTTCAGCTTTAGATCTGCTTCTTTCTGCTATTCTTCTTTTTTTCCTACTTTTTGTGTTTTTCTGCTACTTATGCTTCTTACAGTTGTTTTCAGCTATATTAGCTGTTTTCTGCTATTTTAACTATATTTTTGCTCCATTTTACCATTTTTCCACAAAGTTAGCCTTTTTAGCTTCTTTCAGCTTTGCAAATTCAACTTGCATTAACACTTTTGCTTTTGAATATTTTCAGCTCAACTTCAGCAGCTTTCAGTTTAAGTTTTCAGCCAGAAGCATTCACACCAGGCTTTTTGCAGGAAATGCAGTTTTTCTAGTTTATATTTTGTCCCTGGATTTTTACACCTAATTATTCGTCCTTCATGGGTGAAAAAGAAACCCTTCGGCTGTAAATCCTCCCTGATTTACTCAAAGACACACATCCTGAAGGCTGGGCTTTGTGTACACAAGTTCTCAGCTGATTCTGACGGTGCGCCTCCTACTGGTCAGTTTGTAGACAAAATAAATCCTCAACAAGTCTTTTAGTTCACACTGCAGGTTATCCAACAAAGATATCGATTTTTAACATTTAATTTAAAGGGAATCATGAATTCACAGATTCAGATTAAATATTTGAAATAAAACCAACGTTTTACATCTAAATCGAGACGTGCCCATGTTTACGTAACGGCTCATATTTATCCAGGACAAAACAAGCAACAGGAATCAGCCGTGTGAACTCACAGGTACATGAGGAGGAGCGTGCTCATCACCAGCAGGAAGCGACTCAGGTTGGAGTTGAAGTACACGATCATGAGCAGGACGCCGAACCTCGCCGCCGAGTACAGCCAGTCCAGCCAGTCGCGCTCCAGGTCCTCCTCGTCCTCCATCACGGGCCCGCCCTGCGCGTTCATGCGCAGGTTCTGGTTGGCCTCCCCCGGGTCGATGAAGGCGCCGTCCTGCGCCGGGTTCTGATTGGCCGGCAGGTTGTCGATGGGGTTTTGATTGGCGATGGGGGCGGGGACTTGGTGCGCGGGAACAGGCTGGTACTGACCGACGGTCGTCGCTGGCGCTGAGGGAACGGAGCCCGCTGCTGCCAGAGCTGCGTGGCTGCGGAGGCAGAGTTAGAGTTTACAAACGATAACGTTTAAACAGATACTTTTAGGATTTTATGTAACACCTACTACTGCATGTAATACTGCCTGGCGTAGACGTGCTGCAGCCACAGCAGCTGCTGAGGGCTGTACAGGGACAAGGCGGGAAAGGCAGGATGAGCCATGTGTGATGCTCCAGCCCTGCAAAGAAACAGTATCTGTTCATATCTGAGTAAAAAACACGGTGCAAAGAGGCCAGGCTATAATAAATAAAMCCTTTAAGGTAATAAATATTCAACCACAGAGGGCAGCTAAATGTAAGATCCAATCAACTCACTCAGGAACACCAGCTCTTTTTACAAAACTCAACTTTTTCTGATCCTGAATCTTAAATGAAACTCAGAGAAACGTTCACCAAGTTCCACAAAGATTTCAGTAAATGTTTAAATCTGTGACAAGGATTACTGAAAGTAAAGAGGGGAGGTCACCAAATGTGTCACATGGTTTGGTTCTTTACAACTTTTAGAAAGAAACTGCCTCTTTTCGATGCACTTTGTTAAAACTGGCTGAAGAATCTTGCCTTTTGCAGCATCACCCTGTTTTATTTCACTTGTATCCTGATTAAAACGCTTGCTAACTCATTTAAAAAGGATCCATGATTAGTTGTGACATTAGACTTTATTTGATAAACGTTTAACTGTAAAATAAAGACTGTAAAAATACTATGGGCTGTTCAGTTTTTATCATTTTTAAACTAAATTTTTAAAAATATATTTTAACACAGACGGAGCCATTTTATTTACACACAAAGCATTCTGGGTAAACGATGACGTGGATAGGTCATCAGTGTGAGCGAGCTATATCCACCCTGAAGGTTAATCTTGGACAATATCTGACAGTCGACTCTTTTAAATGAAACCAGAGAGCGTTGACAGAGAGGAGA